TGAGTGGAGAGGTTCTTGTGTTCAGTGCCGGATTTTCGAACAAACGAACTAACCTTGCTTCGACAGTGAAAATTATTTCTGCATAGACATGTTTCAGAGCTCTGCGTATTGGACAGCGATTTAAACTATTACACAGTAGTGCGCAAACGTTTCCAAGTGTCAACTATCGCTTACCCATTGTTTATGGACATCAGGTAACCCACTGTCATTCACTGGTTAAGCACTTGTATTAATATGCATAACTTGGAAGTATTTATCGAAACATTCGAACTTCACACCAAGCGTATTTTCTGCAGGTTATTTTCAAGCCTAGAACTCCAATTTCTTGTAAGTTCGCCTTTACGTGTTCACTCGGGCTTGGTCTGACACACCATTGTTTACAAACACATGTAAATCATAAGTCATAACCGGATATTCAACTTCATCTGCAGCCGTTCCATGGTTACTGCCGGTCTCAAGCACGAATTTTGGAGGAGGGCTTGTCATAGGATCGTTGATCCCATCTAGTAGAATACCAATTTGATAAAAAATGTTAACCCGAACAAGTAATCAGGAGTATTTGAACTCTGTGCTGGGATTTGAAAGTTCTTCACTTTGAAGAGTTACAGCACCTCATGATGAAAATCAAGTTACTTTGAAATTGACGAGACCGACGACACTTCTGACGAGCAGGGCAAAACTTCACATCAGTACATGGAATATCCACTGAATGTAAATGGAATGGTGTAAGATCCGTTTTTTGAAGGAATTGTTTGTGAAGATCCCTTTGTGTATATATTTGTAATTTGTCCTTATTGATTCATTCAGTTGTACATTTTGTTAGTCTGTTCGATTCCATCTGAGATGATAATATTTGTCTTTTATTATAGTTTCTACTTCTTTTTCCTTTTCTGAGTTTTTGTGTTTCTTTCTGAACTGCATTTATGTTGTTTAAGCTGATACTTGGTCATGTTTACAGCCATTTTGATTTGTTCCTCATTTGATTGTGTTGGTTGGTTGAACTGGGTTTGTGCATTTTGATTGTGAATTCAAGTACTCTTGCAAAATTGGGAACACTCTGTGTCATAAAGCAACCAAATATTATCTTTTGAACGAATCTGATATATCCAGGAGGGATAGAATATCATTTATTTGTTGCTGTTGATTTGATTAATCCAATAGTTGTTGAAGAAATAACTGAGTGGTAATATTTGTTTAGGTAATGATCTATATTTATATTTATGATGCATATTAGAACCGTCATTTACCCAATCACTTGTTTTGGTTTTAAAGTGGGTAAGGCGCGTATCTGAGCTACCTAGACGATTATTCCTCAGTCCAAACCACGGTTTGTATCCTACTAAGGGAAGACTATTTGAATAGTTGTAGAAATAGAATGATAGAACCCGTTAGCGCTAGGAATAAGTGAAATTAACAAGAGGCTAAGTTTGGAGTAGATTTCATCGGATACAAAGACATTATGGGACGACATGGACTGACAGAAAGGAACGAAAACAGTGAGAGATCAACGAACCTATGCACCTTCAACAAACCGATCATAGGTACGACCATATTGTCACACAAGTTACAAGGCTACATAGAACCAAATCGGCAAAATCTGAATAAAATTCAGAAGGAAGAAGGAGGGCATAGAAACCAGGAGACGAGTTGATATGGTTTCAGATCATCACTAAGTGGTAGCTGAAATGAAGCTGAAACTAAAGAAACACTCTACAGCTATGCGAACAAAATAACGAAAGTTAAATACGGCTTTTCTTCAGGATATTGAAAAACTAAACTAATTCAAGATAACCCTCAGCAATAGGCCTTTAGCCTTTCACGATTTATTTTGTGAAGGGGAAATAGCCATTATGAGCAGCTGGAAAGTGATCAGAAAAACAATAACTTCGACTAGTCGTGAGGTTTTGGAGCACAGGGAACACTATCACACGTAATGGATTCCTGTTGTTACTGTTGATAAGAAACCAGAAAAAAAGAACAGGAAGACAGCAATCAAATATGGTCGAATAAGAGCACAGAAGGCAAAATCACACCTCAAATGTACAAAAGCAAAGAAGCAAGTGATGAGGAGCGGCAGAGCCAACAAACTTACAAATGTGTAAGATCAAGCTATGATAGCGGAAAAAACTGTAATAGGAGGAAACTTGAGGCAACTGTATGATACAATCATGAGGCGTGCTAGTAATTATCGAAAACCCGAACGAAGAAGTAAAAGCCTTTAAATATCTGGGCAGCATCATCGACAAATAAGATGAAGCCGATGCAGATGTGAAGGAGCGGATCGGCAGAGCGAGGTCTGCATTTTTACAGTTGAACAACACCTGGAATTGAAGACAACTATCGTTAAACACCTAAGTCAGAATTGTCAATTCAAATGTCAAGACAGTTCTACTGTATGGAGCGGAAACATGGAGAAGTACGAAAGCCATCATCCAGAAGATTCAAGTCTTTATTAACAGTTGTCAGTGCAAAATACTTCGGATCCGCTGGCCAGACACTACTAGCAACAACCAGTTGTGGGAGAGGACAAACCAGAACACAGCGGTGGAGGTGATCAGTATGAGGCGTCGGAAGTGGATAGGACATACATTGTGGAAAGCACCCAACTGCGTCACACGACAAGCCCTCACATGGAGTCCTCAAGGTCGAAGGAAAAGGGTAAGGCCAAGAAACATAATACGTCGAGTAATGGAGACAGACATGAGAGGAATGAACGAAAATCGGGTAGAAGTTGAAAGGAAGGCTGAGGACAGAGTATTTTGGAGAATCGTGGTGGACAGCCGATGCTCCATTAGGTGTAACAGACTATGGTGAATAATTAAGTAATTAATTGAGTGAGTGAGTACGTATGTAATTAAGAAAGTAAAAATACTCACTCTTACTTACACATCTCATTGGACATGGCTGGCTTTCCCTGTGACGAACCTGGTTTTAAGGAAAATTTCTTTACGGTGGACCAATATTAACGGTCGGACTATAGTTTATGGACAAATTAGTCTCGTTTGGGGTATCAAGACTTGCATCAAAGCCCGAAGTGTATTCATTTATATTGAAATAGTTTTAAATATTCACACTGTCTGACCGCAATTTTTCTTTCCAGATTCCCTGGATTAGAAGCTTGCGCGACTACTGATTGCTGTTTTTATTACTCTTTCTCACTGTAAGTGCATCTTTTTCTCGTGCTGGGTTGTTGGCTCATCTCCTTTTTTATTTATCCCTCTTTCAGTTCTCTCCACTAACGCCAATCTGCAAGCTCCCTTAGTACACAAGATAATTTCTGGATACACGCGAGCCACTACAATATGGCTGAATGGTATTTAGGTTTTTGGCTGGCATCAGCCTGAGCAAACCTCTAACCTTAATTCTTGATCCTATTTTTCAACTCTGCTTACAATTATAATTCTTCACAAGAATTTATAACTCCCTTCTGACCTTAGTAGATAGATGGTTACTTTAAAAGTCAATTTAGGATCATGAAGAATGTGCGTATAATGATGAATATCACGTTCTAGTCTATAAAGTAGCTAGAAGTAATTGCCTCTGATTACTAATAAACATAAATGTCTTTTAGGAGTATCTCAACTCAAAATTAGTCTGTGAAGGCTTTTGAAGCTATATCTCTTCCAGATAAGCTAACCGTTAGAGCTTCAGTTCCAACAGTCTTTGTTAATGTGTTCTTCGGAAAAATTTATTGTGGAATGTATGTAATTAACATTTACAAGTAAGGGCACATGCAAGTGAAATTTTGAGTTAAGTTTGTCATTTCATATAGAACCAGACAAAATCACTTTTATCTCTCGCAACAACTAATTTTTAATAGTTTTGCTTTAATCAGGCAGTGTTTAAAAAATCAGAAAACTCGTCAGCATGAACTTGTTCAGCCGTGAAGTTGTGATTATTCCGTGTTTGGCTGACCTAAATATGATGATCACACCAATAGCGCATAAATATCAGGAATAATTACGATTTAAAACAATAAGTCTCGGTTATGAATTTTGATAGAATTGCGAGAAGACGTAATTAATTGGTACAATGTGATGTATTTGGGCTATAAATTTTATTAATCTTCCTATAAAAATGCCTTGACAAGCATTTGTGTGACCAGATTGCTCGAAAAGTATGGCGCAAATAAATCACATTTATTATGATAAATAAACTATTTAACAAGAGCTCTTGAAACGCCCAGGTATCAGTATGATAGCAAAAACCTGTCTCAAAGCTGATAAACGTCTATTCCGAAATACACACCATAACAAGCGATGCGTGTTCAAAGTCCTGTGAAACCACCAATTTTACCATGTATTGCCTAAATTTCAGTTCTATTTGGATCTGCCCTCCATACTTTTAGCACGTGGTCCTAATCAGACAACATAATTGCGTGTAAATGGAAATTATAAGGTGTCAGGGAGCAGTCGAACTTTTTGTCTATTTTTTTTCGAATTATTCAATATAATATACTTAGTACTCAGTCAATCTGTTTCTGTCGGTTGAAGGGAAACATTTTTTCATCGGAACATGATAATTCTGGTAAAGTTAAACGGAAAGTGTGCACTACTCTTAAAGTTTCCGAATCGCCAATGTTGGTGACTGAAGTAACCCGGTTCAAGATCGCTATATAGGTGAATAAGTCATCTGGAGCTCATGTCCCTTTCATAACATGTTGATGGCTCTGACGTACTTACAGAACTATACTATGGTTTAAAGAATAAAATTATTTGTACTGTTTGACTAAATTTTTAAGTTCATATTATATTAGCCTATACTATGAGTTTGTGCGGCTAAAATGGTGTTTCGTTGCAAAACCAGTGACTTTCAAATCTTATTCTCTTTTACTTAAATGTCTAGTTCTTGTCCATTTGACAAAACGAAGTATTCACAGGATAACCTTTTTGTTTTCAATTTAGTATCTTAAAAACAATACAAAAATAATCATGGTATTGGATATTGTACTACAAAGCAAATCTGCTGGGTCGTTCAATAATTGACCTTCAGGTGCACGAATGATTTGTGTTCGTGAAGTTCAAAAGCTTAAAGGCAGTAACAGACGCTTGTGGACTTTAAGTTGGAACCATACAGGATCTGTTTTGATTTCTGGTGGAGAAGACAGAATAATTAAATTGTGGGCTAAATGCGACGAAAGATCATGGGCTAACAGTTTTACTCTCCCAGAAGCACACAAAAGATCAATTAGATGCGTAACATGGTCGCCTTGTGGTAACTACGTAGCCTCAGCAAGTTTTGATGGTACAGTGGCCATATGGAAAATTTCTAAAGAGGCTTCAGGACATGAAATGGAGGCACTTGTGACATTGGAAGGTATGTTTTGATGTAATTAATTTATTTTAAACCACTTAGAAAAGTTTGAATGTATTTAATTGTTCTTACTTGCGATTCGGGTCTGATTATAACTACCAACTTTTGTCTCTTGTATTGGCACTTTCATTGCTGTTACATTTTTCATCGCTTTCGTGTTTCTGCACTCGTAAAATCTAAATTCCATTTGACTTCGACTCTTATCTTATTCAAAGATAATCGATATAAATTCCGTTCTTCACTAATTCGGTGAAAGACCCCAAATATATGGCAGCAGTCATGATGTGATGATTACTACCATTTAGTAGTTGAAAGTATTTTGTTAAACTCGAGATACAAGATCAAATTAGTGGATAAGGTACTTAGTTTAATACGTAGTGCCTTTCAGCTATCGTCGCATATCTTGACTCGCCGTTTTGGCTCATGAAATGACTTACCGTTTACAAAATTATGTACTTTGTCTTGAATGAAATCGTTACCACGAATCTGCCCTTTTTGGCGACGGTCGATTTTATGCTTTATGAAACAGAAAATATGGCGGCGGCAATTGGATTCTTTATGTACTATTATTTTTTAAAACAACAATCTGAAGTACAGTAAGTATGAGGTTTCCGTCCTATAAGAAGTTCTATAGTCTAAAGGTAATGTGATATTGCCATCGTTAGATTCGATACTATCGTTCCTCTTACCTAGTCGTTTAGTGAGTAGAATCAGTGAAACATTAGAAAGCGTCTGTCAAATCAATGAATTCATACCAATATATTCCTTCTCTAAAATTCATCTATTGCAGTATGAAAGACATCGAGTTAAACGCTCGGTTCACACAGAGGTGTCTATTCGAAAGACAATTGAAGCTATTCGTAAATTGTCGAGTAAAATTCGGTAGCCATCAAAGCTCCTAAAAAAATTTTCGAGATTGGAAACAGCTCTATTTAATCATTTAATCTTTAGTATGGCGGGGCATCTAAATATTTATCATACGTTATTGAATTTGCGATTTAACTGGGGCACTACCCAGATGCCCAAACAGAACTAGCTTGTTTTGCTAAGGCGACACTTCCGGCTCTTCGACCTACAGGTCTCATTCTCAGGATAGTGGGTTGGCGTCAAAAGATGCAGTCTAACAGTAGCCGGTGACCAACATTAGGTTTATACGCCATTTGTTTTCTAAGGATCCTGGAGCTCATGTGCACCATTGGTCTGGAGTCAGGGGTTTCCAGCTCCCCTCGGTGAATCGTCCGTACCCACTTGCCCGGTTCAGGCCCTAGTCGAACATTCCTTTTTCTTTCTCATTATTTTGTAAACAACACTACCACCACAAAAAAGTAAAACTTCCTTGTGAGTGGATGTCTATGCGTGACCATGTAAGAGTATTTCAAGGAGAGAGGATTCTCCGCCTTCGGCAGTACTAGATCATTTGGACGTACTGTAAAAGCCGTTGTTCTGGTTTTTGCTACATAAAGTTAGTTTACTTATGTGAATTGTTACACACTTTCGGGGACTGTACGCAAAGAACATTTGACACTTTCAATTTAACTGCTCTCTAGATTATAATCCTTGAATAATATCTTCGAATTCTAATCTTTCCGATCATTGCTTATACTTCTACTCCCTCTACCACTCAGTCCGTCAGTCAGTCAACTACAATTCATTAATCATTCCGTATGAATCCATTCTTTCTTTTTCACGTGACTGTTATGGTGCTCAAATTTTCTTTACCATAGATGTTCTCATTCCTGTAAATCCTAACAAGAATGCATGATTAGCTTTTTGTAGACTAGGCGTAGGAAAATATCTTGTTTTTCGCCACAGATTGTATTGGTAAAACATCATGAAATTAGCATACTTCATCATACTAAGTCATCCAATTTCGTAAAAATGTAAGCTGTTTTCGTTATGTTTTTTTCATGTGTATTAGGGCATACTAGCGAAGTTAAGTGTGTTGCTTGGTGTCCATCCGGTCATCTGATAGCCACTTGTGGTCGAGATAAAAGTGTCTGGCTGTGGGAGTTTGATGACGAAGAGGATGTTCAATGTGTAAGCGTCCTACAGCCCCATTCACAGGATGTGAAATCAGTAGCTTGGCATCCACACGGTGAGGTGAGTATTTGATAAGTATTTTTAATGGTAAGTAGTAGTATTTATTCAGAATTGGGCAATAAAGATGGTCATTGACACTTTTTCTCCTTATATTCAGTTCACTCACTTTAGGAATACAAAAAAGTGCTGCTATTAATGGTTGTTTTCGTTAAGGAACGATCTGTTGGAAGCTGGTCGATTTTTGTTTGGGTTCTGGATCCATTGGTTACATCTTACTCAGTCAAATAATACCGTTACATCTACTGCTGGGTGTTTTAAACAAAACTGTCATAGCATTGTCATTGGAAAGGTTTTTGAAAAATGTACTTGAAATTTCTGTATAAAAGCACTCTGAGTACAACCACTCATCTATTGTTTTGCTCTAGAGGTGAAGTGAAGAGGATTGGGCAGCCTGGTCCTCGATTACTTCCTTCTCGAAACAGGTCTTCAGAGATTTTATGGTCACGGTTGTATTACCTTGATTCCGTAGTCCGGAATCGGCGTATTTGAGGTCTGAGACGATGACTAACTCATACCAGCATCTTATACCATTGATTTCGGTAGACTAAACGTGTTTTGTAAACGGTATTCCACACTCATTATTTGGGGTAAACTCGCTCTTCGACCAGTGTTTAAAATCCAAACCCTGTTCCATCTCTGTTCACGTAGTCCGTTGGAATTACTAGCTTCCACTCATAGTATGATTCAAAGCCGAATACGTTTAATTTGCTATAATTTTCATCACTTGTTGTTAGGAAACATAAATGCAGCGTTCTACCTATCTAACTAAGCTTTACAAGTAGTAATGGCTAAATACTAAATAATTGCTGAATAATAGCAACCAGTCAGTCAACTGCTACGTAGAACTTCGTGTGTATGTATATCATTTCAAGTTGCCGGCTTACACAGACGCGGTTGTCAATTCAAGTCCGATAGTGGTAGAGGTAGTAGAAGCATGAGCAGTGGTCGGAAAGATTAGGATTCGAAGTTATTATTCAAGGAGTATATCCCTGTGAAATTGATTTAAGATGAGAAAGATGAAAGTCATTAGAAGTTTAGATTAGGAAATGGGAAAACACAGAATGGATGCACCTGCGCCATTAAAAACGATTTGGAGCCATGTCTCTAACCATCGGTTACTACCGTCTCGTGGACCCCAAAAAGATAACAAGATACCCTACCAACATGACTCTGTTCACTTACCAGTGACTTCACGGATTTGCACCAGGTTCCAGTCTATGCACCCCTTGCTTTCTTCCAGCCTACTCCTACTCCACAAAACAGCTTGTCGGAGCAGTCAGTTGTTGGGCATATGTAACACATATCTCAACCATCTCAACTGGTAAAGATTCACTACATCATCAGTTGATTTGCTGTCCTTTCCTAGTATCCGTTTCCTGACTCTAGCATTGTTTACTCGACTGGCTTAGGAAATACGAGCAATGCTTCGAGAACACCGACGATCAACTACTAGTAACCTACTAATATCCTTTACTCTTACTAACCATGTTTTCTATCCGTCAATTAGGACGGAGGGAACTGTTGCGCAGTAAACCCGTCCTTTGGTTGGTAGACGGATATCTTGCCTACGCCATAAATGACGCAGGTTGGCAAAAACCAGTTGAGCCTTCTGTATCCGTGTCGTGATTTCTTCAGACACCAGGCCATTAGTATTGATGAGACTCCCAAGATAAGTAAAGTGGTCAGCACGCTCAACTACTTCACTCCCTATCACTAGTCAAGTTGTCAATGCAAGTCAATGCCGAAGCAACAGGATAGGTCGTAGTTTTTATGTGACTTCAATAATTGACGAAACTAATTTGTGCTATTAATTTACCGAAGACTATCACTGTTTCTGTATATATACTGATGTAACGCTTTGTAATTACTTACGCCTGTTATCTCAAATGGAGCTAACTAATGCGAAATCTAGGTTGATTTTGTTTCGTAGTGAATCCAATCACCTAACATCAAAACATATTGCACGTGATGCCGAATGACTCAAGCTAGTGGCCACATTGCTACTTGATCGATAAAATTTCTCCAGCTTCAGGAACCTGACGACATAAAATTGATTAGTGCTCAGTAGTCGATCAATTTAAGTTTCATGTATTTATTTCTGTTATATTCACGATAACTTGACTTCACTTTTCCGTTATCTGTACTTTGTAAAGGTTTTGGTTTCCACGAGTTATGACAATAAGATAAATGTTTACAAAGAGGAGATTGATGATTGGACTGTTTTTGTTCAACTAAGTACGTATTGAGTATCTTAATTTATGTGACTCATGTTTTTGAAACTGATATTATTAGTTCTCTCCCTAAAGCCAAAGGATTACTTCCGTATTTAATGAAATAAGTTGAAGTACTAATGAGTAGTCTATATTTTCACACCAAATATTTGGTGTTCCATTTCAAAACAATGCTACTGATCTACTTATCATTTAGACTATGCATTATTAATTATGAAATGGATAATTGTTTAGATATCTTATTTGACGCTTCATCTAACCGAGTACCTTTTAGTTAAATTTTTGAAAATATTTTTTTTGTGAATCAGTTAATCAACTTATCAATTTATAACGGATCTTATATCACAACATCAAGGGTACGGTGATTTTAAATTCTTTCTTTTCCAATACTAATTAGAATACTTGTGTAAGTGGGAATTTCTCGAAACTATAGTTTATGATGTACGTTATCCTTTTAGAAGTATGGTGCCTTTAATGTTATCCTCGGACTTATGTTCCTTAATGTGGGGTTGTAATTAAGTTGAAACAGTTTGTATAGCTTAATCAAACTACAGGTAAAGGATCAAGTGTAAACAGTTAGACGTTGTAACATTTTTATTAAACAGCGTTTGTAGACTGAAGATGTATTATAAAAGGTAAGAAGATGTTTGTTGAAACTTCGTCAAATCTGAAGTATGGGTTAGGTAGAAGGCCAATTAACTTATTGCTTGACAACGGTTTTCGCAAACGATGGCTCTTATCAGATAGTGCATGACCATCCGGTAGGCTTTTTGAATTGTGCACACTTCGTTTCTTTTAGAAGCTCTGAACATTGTTCCCAGAAAAATGTGAGATCATATTTTATCATCAACTGACAGGGACCTACATAAATAAGTATATAACCATCGTTTAGATAAATTTGACTTAGTTTTAGGATCTGAATATGTTTAATGCATTCTTCCGAAACAAAACTTTGGAATACAAGATAATGAGTGTCTAGCGACCATAACCGTCTGCCATTTACAGGCTAAAAGTTGGATGTTATAATTACTTAAACTGCCTCATCTAGTGACTGAAATATAAATAGAGTTAAAGTTGTTAGTTATTTAGCATATTGAATATTTGCTCAAATTACCTTTCACTTATACATTTCGGGATCATAATGCTGATTTTTGGAATTTAAATTCTAGGATACATGTTTAATAGGGAGTAGAAAGTATGTCTGAAGATTTTCATACGTTATTAAGAAAACTTTTCGCTCCTCAACACGGAGGTTGATTTGAATCCACAGTATAGTATTGGCTTTAATAGATCTGCAGTGTGGTTAAGGTCTTCTGTTGTATTACTAGCAATTTTTCGTTGAAGGAATTGACGATGCCAAACTTCTGGGAAGCTTTTTCCTGGACTGTTGTCATTTTACTGCGATTACTTGATTGCATTGATAGTTCTTTTTTGAGAAAGGCACACACATTTGGCTTTATGTTAACTAATATATTTTTGTTCATTTTACTTTTTTTGAATCGGTGACCGATGTTTTAATTGATCGCAAATCTGTGACTTGGTTGCTGCATGAACGAGACAGTACATCAATTTATGTACGAACATCGTTTTATAATAACTGTTAGTGTGACACAATCAGCACTCGCAAGTTACTATATTTCCTGAAACTTTAGTTTCAGTAAGTGGAACAAGTCTTAAATCTGTACCTTAATCTCTAGAAACCAGGTGTTTCACCTATTCAGCAACCTTCGCTTATATGATGACTAACCCACAATATTATCTTCTGTATTAGTATTTGTCACCTTTTGACACTAAATCGCAACTATCGGGTTAAGAAATGGGTATTTAATGTTATCGTCTGGTATTTTGTTTTTGAAATAAGAGATAAACTACTAGGTGATTTTGCTACTTGATTGGTATACTTTATCTTTGTCAACTGGTGTAAATATTTACCAAAACAATTCCTCGGGTGGTCTCAGTTATTAGAAATAAATACATATCTAGTGCTGTGAAATAGTAACGTTGATTGTAATCTCTTAGTTTACTTAACAAAAATGCTGTACATATTACGTATATTAAAAATTAAAAAACTAGTCATCTTTGTCTTTACTTTTTCGCAAACATTTTATTCTATTTTTTTAAAATTTTAACTTCCATAGCTGGACATGACTCCACTGTGTGGAAAGCAGAATTTTCCCCATCTGGAGATATTTTGGCAAGCTGCAGTGATGATCGATGTGTTAAACTGTGGGGATGGGACGGTGGGTTTTTAAAATTTCTAAATGACTACACACTTATCTACTTTATTAAAAGACGAATAACATAAATAGTTAAGGAAGGAGTATCATTTTTTCTCTCTTTTACCTAAAGTCTTTAAAAGTAAGTTGACGTCATGCACCTCCACACTTAATTGAGTTATACAAATTTCTGGAAGGTTGCATTTTCTATCAGAATCCGGCAATAACATGACTACTAAAAACAAACCACATTCTAGTTTATCAAATTTGCTTGTGCCAGAATTATCACAGATCATTTCTTTTTTCATATTCTCGTCTATTATAGCAATAAAAGCACTATCAATAAATTATCCACTGTTATTAGGGAGATATCTTTTCTTTTTATATATGGTCATTCGGTGGCTTACGTCGATAATTCAATCTTCTGATGGGCTATCATGCCGTAATATTGCTTCGTCTATCAATTGGCATTTCATTTTCTATTTAAGAATAGCCTTACTATTATAAAATCCTAATTAATGACCAAAAACCATAACACATCATTCAACGTTTTAGTATTCATGAAATGGAAGAAGTTTGATTGTTGATGTTCTCTTCATTGGAGTAGTTTAAAATGTACACAATACCGATTAATATTCAACATCCTGATAATGATTAATCACGCCTATTGGAGGCGTAGTAGTCAGATAGACAAACATCATCAGTATAGAACACGGGATAGATGTGTTTTGGCCCGTTACCATATCACACTATCACGGGAAGATGAAAACAATGAAGTAAATGGCAAAACAGCTCGAAATAATTTGAAAGACTGGACATTAGGGATAGAGTTTGAAAGAGTATATAAAGAAATACGGGAATTTAAGATCAAGAGGACGATAGGAAGTGGATACATTTTCAAGAAGTTCGTCAGGATTGTCCCATTTCTTCGTTTTTATTCAATTCGGTCGTTATTTCAGTGATAATACTCTCATTGTCTAACTTTTTAGGGATCGATCGTTTACCATGAGATTCTTTTTTTGACTTACAATATACAGAAAGTATAGTTCTGCTTGGTAAAGACGCTGGAAAAATGCAGTCTTCTGACCGCCTTAAAGAAAAAGTGCTAGAATGTTTTGGATGCTTTTACCGTCATCTATATGTGAACTAGTCTGCGTCAACATGGTGATTAAGTGTGTCGACACCTCTTATCTTGGTATTTGACAAAATCGCGGCATAAATTCGACAGCTCACTCGATTTTTGTCAATAGGCACCACTTTTGTTGTAGGTGCGATTTTCGTTTACCAACTAAACAACAACTCAATCCTCGTTACTTCATGACTGTAAAATGTGATCTTTGAAAGCAGCTGGTTTTATAAGTTACCGGTATTTGATCTTAGATACACCATAGATACTGGTGTATATTGGATTTACCAAGTGAGCCATCCTGGGGTCAGACACAGGGTACTAGGTAAGTATAGCAAATCGATTGAGATGGTTTGAACACGTATCACATAATACTCAATAACCATCTACCTGGATTCCTGATGCACAGTTAATTTGGAAGAAGACATGTTATCAGTCCATGAAGTCATCGACTGTTGGTTTGAGTCATTCTGGTAGATGGAGACAACCTTGTTCATTTCCACGTGATCACTTAGATCAGTGGTTGGAGGCTTAGGGTGACAAAGTTAAGTATCGCTCTTGATGGCCTAGTTCTTAGGCCCTACGTTTTGATGTTATGTTCATTCCTTTTTATTATTCTTTGAATTCGTATTTTCTCGATTATCACTAGCATTGAAACTTTTTTCAGTACTCCATGATTTGTTTGAATAATTTCATCTCACTGTGCTATTGTGATGTAGCTACTTGATCCAATGTACATGTACCAGGTTCTACATTGCGTTTAGCGGATTATTCGAATAATTACTGAATATATAATATTTTTGTTTAAACACAGATGTTTAATTTTCTGTAAAAACTACTTTCATGTAAATTCTCTGTTAGTTTATATGTATCTAGTAACCTATAGTAATACTAATAGGTTAACTAATTACTGTTAACTTTTTACTTGTTTTTCCTTTCTCTTTATGTCATAAATCACACTTTTATTACTATTTCCAAGTTTGTTTTAACTTCACAAAGCTTTCCGAGTGATATATATGAGTGGGAAAATGTTTTTTTTTAAAGTGAAATATTTACCTAAAAAAAGTTGTTATTTCACTGTCGTTGTTGTTATTGTCCATAGGGCTATGTATGTATGTTTCTGTTTCAAGAATTTTCAAAAGCACAGTCATACCAATATTTATTGAACGATAAAGAATAGTTCTGGGTGAGGTGTTCAAAAGCATTTGAAATGAGTAAAATCTGTTTTCCTTCTATATTGGCACTTTCATTTGCAGTTCTCTTTTTAGAGGTTTGTTAACAGTATTATCAATTAGTTCACAGAGTTATCATAAGTAGATTGAGTAATTATTCTGTTTTTACTGTCCGGATTATTCAAGCACACTGTTCGGTATTTTTATAATTCGACTTTATGAACCCATTATCTCTACCTTCAGTGATGTTTTTCCCCATGTGACTAATTTTGTAGAAACGTTCTCGATTACTTGTTTTTCGATTGGCTGTACATACTTGTAAAAATATCATATATCAATGTAATTAATATTCGTTTTTTAGGATCTTGCAGTAAATCAACTTCTTGGGTGTGTATCGCTACAATAACTGGCTATCACATGCGTACAATTTTCGATTTAAGCTGGTGAGTAATATTTGTACTCTTGTGTATCTATAATATGAGTATTTTTTCAACGGGTACATGACTCGTACGTCATTTACTTTTCAATTAAGTTAGTAGCATCAAGTCATACTGAGCAAGTGATGACTGAAACATAAAAGTGCTTTCAATTTAGATTCTTTCAGTGTAGTTTATAATCTATTTTTAGGGTGTTTGATGAAAATTTGATACATGTCCTGGTGATTTTTGTTTTACAATCATGTTATTTGGTGTCATAGGAGACACAAAACTTTATTGTGCTAGGATTTCACATTGCCATACTAGTTATTTTTCTGAACGCGTTTTTATTAGGATGGTTAATTGAAGCTTCACAACTGCTATTAAACCGTTTCTCAAAAATTAGGGCAAAATGATACGTACAAATAAAGTTATCATAGTCTGTGATAACTGCATCAGTCCATTTCTAAACTCATCGTCCTGTAAAGCCTTCCTCCCGGTATGCATTTAAATGAAACCATGTCTAAAGCCTTTCCCTACTAGGTTTACCAAAATCTTGATTGGTTCACACTTACAAATGGCACATTTTATCATGTTTATTTTGTGTTCATGTTGTCAATATAAGTATGTTATTTTATTGCACCAAGAAAAACTATTCATTTAGCTACTGGCCTTGTTTTTGATGCCTAATAGTTCAGAAGCTTATGGTTTCGTGAGTAAATATCACGCAGCCACATCATGCCATTGCGTTCATTTATCGATTTAAACAGTCGTAATTTCGTTTGATCAAATCACAAAAGACTTATTCTCTAAGATGAGTTTATAGAGAACTTTTATCCAGTAAATCCTAGCTTCGTATAACTGTGATATTTTTGTTATTTCTCGCAGATAGGAAAACTGCTTTAAACACTACTTCTTCCATTTTGTGTTGATTATTATTATTATTTTATAAATGGAAATAAGAAAGACGACATATATGAATGAGATTATTTGACTTTTACAGTTTTTTCCTTATTCTTTACCACTAACCAGTTAGCAATTACACGCGGAAAAAAGTCCGCTCTACCAACCACTCTTATCACCTTTTTAAACATGCAGTTTATTGCGACTCTTAGATTACTAACATTTTATCCTTGGGTTGGGATTTTCACTTTTCTTATGAAAATCGATAAGATTTTTAGTCGTGAAAACTTGTCTGTTGAGGAGGAAATATGTAAGTAAGCAGTTTAAAGTCATCAATTATTTTTATGTAGATTATTATTTGACACTTCAATACTGGTATAAAAAAAATTTTACAAATGGGATATGAAATTTTGGCTTTGTAAATTTTGTTCTAGTCGAGCGCCATTTATTACGTATCAAATTAACAGTCAGTAAGATAGATAGTAAAATGAGAAATTACTCCAGTTGATACTTAGATGTCATGGTTTGTAGGAGAAAATATTTTATTAATACTAAAATTAATCGACTTTTACTTACAAAGATATGGTCAGTCAGTGTTTGATCGACGTTTGCAAGTAAAGCAAAATTGAGCTCTAAAAATTGGTGGTTTTTAGCGTCAAGCAAATTTTTACGTTCATAATTTAGGACATGTTTGGTTTAATTAACTTTATCTTTTTCCTATAGTCTATGCGCATTGTTTTTCATCTGTTTGACAGGTCACCCGATGGTCAACTATTGGCTAGTTGTGGTTCTGATAATAGATTATGCATTTATAAAATGCCATCTAATGGTTTGGTTCATATTGGCGGGAAACCATGTTTAGAAGAACCACCTGTTTTATGGGGTCATGTTCCGGATGCTCATTCAGAAGATGTAAACTGTGTACGTTGGCAACCTAGGCATCTAACTGACAACAGTCATAGCAAAGATACATCAGACTGTCAACTAATTCTCACAACAGCTTCTGATGATGGATTTATCAAGTTTTGGTCCATCACTTGTGATGTATAATTCAGTTTCTTTCATACATCGGGCGATTGAGTTTATTTGGTGTGAAATTGTGCTACTTTGTGAACAATTATCTGTACATATAATTTTTTATTTTTCTAGTCTTCAAAAGTGACCCAATTCTTTTTTATTGTAAATTCTATACATATTGTCCCACACAAATTTTGATTTTCATTCTGTCCTCATATATTTTCACAATTTCTACTTTAGGATTCACTTAAAATTAAGTCAAAAATGATTAAACACTGATTTTGCTCAATGCTTGATTGTAATGGTCGGGAGAAAAAATTAGGAGATAAAAATTACCTTGGCATTGTGGTTTTCATTTTCTGAAAACGTTTATCAAAGTTATTAGTACTTTGAAACTGATTGTCAGTGTTACTGACATCAAGTTATATAGGTAAGTGGTGATGTTGAAGAGCAGATAGCTTGGATCTTGGTTTGAGAGTTCTCAAGAGCTGCTTAGTTTGCACATGGGGCTGTAGTGCATTTGACCACTCTGTCAACACAACGTAAACAGTTGAGTAATATCAGGTGCTGAAGTTAATCAGATCACTAGTTCAGGCAACTAATGGTTTTAGTTATTACTTTAGAGTAATGTCGTAATAGATTAAAATTTGTTCACACAAGATTCCGAAACTGATAACCCAATGATATAATCACTATGATTTGTGCATGTATTATTCGACGTGTACAAAATAACTGGATTTTGTTTGTTTTTCCAGGTCTTGAATACATTTGCTTTATTTGGATAGTCACCATTGACTATTAGACACCTCGTTAAACATTAAAGTAAATCGCACGTTTATATTTAAGTCGATTAGTATTAGAAATAAATGTCTGCAAACTTTCTCTTCCCCATTGAACCCTTCATTATTTTTGTATAACTGAGTCCTAATCCTAAACACTTGCTACGTTGAGTTGTTTGGATTTATGTATTTATTCGTCTTGGATTTTCAATGTGTAAAATGAGTTTGGTAATCGTATTGTATCAACGCTTTTTTTAGACATATTAATTCTCACAGCTGTATTTAATCCTAACGTTATTTTTTTTAGTGATAATGACTAATCTGTTTTTCACAGCTGGTTATCTATTTGGTCAGTTTGGTCAATTTACTGACAGAAACTGATTTATCATATCATTTATGCATAGAAATAAGCATATCAGTAGGAATATATGTGTATACGGACATATGTATTTTGATGTTAAGTAGTTGGCACAAAATCTGTGACCTGATTTTCATGTTTATTGATCACCTATCATTATAAGATACGTACAACTTTGAGGAGGCTCATGTTTCTGGTTGTATTCGAACACGTACTACCCAGCTCCAATCACTATTCTATTCTGATGGTAACTGTTTTCCTATAGAGAATTTATTAATCATAAACAGTAAACCATTTACATATTACTTACTTACTTACTTACGCCTGTTACTCCCAATGGAGCATAGGCCGCCCACCAGTTTTCTCCAACCAACTCTGTCCTGGGCTTCTTTCTCCAGTTCTGTCCAATGTTTGTTCATTCCTCTCATATATTTCTCTATTTCTCCGCGTAATGTATTCTTTGGCCTTCCTCTTTTCCTTTTGCCTTGAGGGTTCCATGTGAGGGTTTGTCTCGTGACGCAGTCAGGTGCTTTTCGTAATGTGTATCCTATTCACTTCCACCGCTTCTTCCCGATTTCCAACTCCACTGGAATCTGGTTTGTTCTCTCCCACAGTTCGTTGTTGCTGATGATGTCTGGCCAACGAATCCGAAGTATGTTGCGTAGACAGCTGTTAATAAACACTTGTATCCTCTGGATGATGGCTTTGGTAGTTCTGCAAGTTTCCGCTCCATACAGTAAAACTGTCTTCACATTTGTATTGAAAATCCTTATTTTGATTTTGGTTGAAAGTTGTTTGGAGTTCCAGATATTTTTCAACTGTAGAAATGCAGCCCTTGCTTTGCCAATCCGTTCCCTCACATCTGCATCGGATCCACCTTGGTTTTCGATGATGCTGCCCAGATATGTAAAGGTGTTAACGTCCTCCAGTGCATCTCCATCAAGAGTGATTTGGTTGGTGCATGTTGTGTTGCATCGGAGAATTTCGCTTTTTCCTTTATGTATGTTGAGACCTCCTCAATCGTAGGTGCGCCAATATTAATTGGGAAGTCCGTGGATGCTGCTTCGATGTTGGGTGTGTTCAGTGGAGCTGGTCGATTCAAGAGTTCCTTAAAGTGTTCTACCCACCTATTTCGCTGTTCTTCAGTGTTGCTGATTCCTTTACCTTCCTTGCTTCTCACCGGTCGTTCTGGTTTACGATAGTTTCCGGTCAGCTTCTTTGTAGTTTCGTACAATTGTCTCAAGTTTCCGTCTCTTGCAGCCTTTTCCGCCGTCATTGCTAGATCTTCCACATATTTTCGTTTGTCAGCTCTGATGCTCTTCTTCACTTCCCTGTTTGCTTCTGTGTATGCAGCTTGTGCTTTAACTTTCTCCGCTCTTGTTCGGCTGACATTGATTGCTGCCTTCTTGTTCCTCCTTTCTTCAATTTTTGCAAGAGTATCAACAGAGATCCGTTCCTTGTGATGCTGCTTCTTGCGACCCAGGACCTCCTGACATGTTAAAGTGATTGCCTCCTTAATCCCTTTCCAATTGTTCTCCAATGTTGTGTCCTCTCCATTGTGTAGATCCTGAAAGGCCTGAAACCTATTGGTGAGGGCTATCCTGAATTCGTTGAGCTTTACAGTATTCCGAAGGAAAGCCGTATTCAACTTGTGTGATGTTGTCTGTCCCGTTGTCCAGTGCTTCTTTAGTTTCAGTTTCATTTTGGCGATTAGCGAATGGGGATCTGAGGCTATATCAACTCCTCTCCTGGTTCTCACATCCTCCATAGTCCTTCTGAACGTTTTGTTGATACAGATATGATCAATCTGGTTTTGAGTAGTGTGATCCGGTGATATCCATGTAGCTTTGTGTATGCGTTTGTGCGGGAATATTGTGCCACCGATGACCAGTTTGTTGAAGGCACATAGGTTTGCGAATCTCTCACCATTTTCGTTTCTTCCTCCCAGTCCATGTCGTCCCATGATGTCTTCATATCCAGTGTTGTCCATTCCAACCTTGGCATTCAGGTCTCCCATAAGAACCGTAAAATCCTTTGGTGAGCATTTCTCGACGATTGACTGCAGCCTTTCGTAGAATTGATCTTTATCGTCATCATTGTAGTCATTGGTAGGTGCATAACATTGGATGACGTTCATTGTAATGTCCTGTTTCTTTGTTTTGAAGGATGCTTTAATGATCCTCGGTCCATGAGATTCCCATCCTATCAGTGCCTCTTTCGCTTATTTGGACAGCATCAATGCAACTCCTTGTGTATGTGAAGCATCATCCTCTTTATGACCAGAGTATAACAGCAGTTCCCCTGAAGCTAGTCTCAGTTGTCCTACTTGTGTCCAATGTGTTTCACTGATTCCAAGCACCTCGAGGTTGTATCTTTTCATTTCTGCCGCAACTTGAAATAGTCTTTCAGTCTCCCACAATGTACGAACGTTCCATGTACCTAAGTGAATGGTTGCTCTGGTTGTCAGAAGGGGCATCAGCCCCGTGACTTCCGAGGGAACTCGGCTTTCATCACGCGACGTCATAATTCTTCTTCCAACTCCCAGGGCAGAGTGAAAATGGTTTGAATTATTTTTTCTGGTTAGCGTTTTTTTGGCAAGTTAGTTTTTGACGGAATGGGGTCGCCAACCCCATGTCCAATCCTCCTCCTTTACCCGGGCTTGGGACCGGCAGTAGCCCCGAAGGTTCTACTGGCGGAGTTAAACCATTTACATATAAATTTTGCTAATTAATAGTGTGCGAATTATTGAGGTTTGAGCAAGTTAACTGTCGATTGCTAATGAACGCAAAATTCAATCTCGTTCATTATAATTTATTTGACATACACAAAGTGATTTAGATGATATTTGTTTTTTTTGTAAAATAGTTCCATTATAGTAGTGAATTGTAATGGAAGACATAAAGATTACGATGGATTGACAAAAGTGGGTTAATTCAATTGTCATCTATTATGATGTCTAATTGTTTTTTCCTAGCAAAAATTACTCGACTATTCGATATGTTTGTTTCCTTTTTTTTGAACCTGTTATTTCGTGTTTTTGGACAGTTTCAACTCATGTGTATATTCTTCTCAAGCTATTTTCAAATTGTAACTTGTATCCAATCAACCTGTTTATTCCTAATTCTATATGAGAATAAAATCAATTTTTTGTAATGTTTAATGAGTTTTTGAGACTAAAGATAATACTTTTTTGAAGGTAACATTTAGTACTGGTTGTCAATTAAGTTTGTATTGAATTCGAGCTCCAAAGTTCAAAAAGAATTCAGTTAAATTCCAAGTAATTTTTATCTACTGATAGGTTTAGTTTTTACGATTACTTGGTTGACAAGTTTCTTCTAGTACAAATAGACTGATCATTAATCAATGTGTAATTTGTTCTTTGAAAAATGTTACCAGTCACTCACACCAACTTTTATATCTTTGGAATATTGGACTGGTTTATGCTTTGTACTGGGACCTAGAATCCGATGACACCAGCAGAGAACGTCAAGATTAATGTGAATTTATTTGGCCCCAGAAATAAATCAGAATGACAAATGCATTCAATTAGACATGGATTTTACGCACGCTTGATGACTAGCTAACAATTTTAACGCGGGAAATACCTAAGAAACACAAGCTATGAATTTTACACTGAAATAATACAAAGAACATTATGTTGAATGAATATCAACCAGCAATAATTCAAAGTTATGCCGAAAAAAGTATCAAATTGAAAAACACACAAATATTATGGGAGAGTAATTATATTGAATTATGAACGGAAGTAATGTTGAAAAAACTCACAACTAGTTTAAAACGTAATTTCAGCTCTCTATCTTGATTACCAGCAAT